ATTATGTTAGCCACCCCCCTCCACCACTGTCAGCCCCAACCACCAGCCCAACCCCCAACTTGACTTATCCACAACCACCGGACAACCTCCCAGCCCAACCCCCATCCACCGAAACCCCCACCTGATTTATACCCGACCACCAAACAACCTCCCAGTCGAACCCCCGACCACCGAAACCCCCACCTGACTTAACCCCGACCACCGAACAACCTCCAAGCCCAACCCCCGACCACCAGCCACGATTTTCCCCACTAGGCCACCACACACACAACTTCTCTCCACCACCTTAGCCAGCCACGACAACTTCTCTCCACCATCGCAACCCCTCACTCACCTAACCCATAAGCTGCAAACACACCCACACCCAGACGCAACCCCTTTACCGCACCAACACAAGCAACCTTTCAACACACCAACCGCAACAGTACAACCTCCAATTCCGCCACCAACAACCCAAATTTCAACAACAATCGAACACTAAACGATAGTAACCCCTGCTCGCGATCGTCGATTCGTAACACCAACCCAAATTCCAGCAATTCCAAACACCAATTTCGAGCAGGTTGTATTTGGTGGTGAGGGGATTAAGGGCTGATGTTGGTAACGATGGTTGGGCGTTTGGTGGTTGGCGAGCAGCAGCGACAGTTTGGTGGTTTCGTTGTTGGAGATGCGGAGTGAAGCGCTAGTGGTTGGAAGAGTGGAGCACGGGTGGTGTTGGGATTTCGAAAGGTGGTTTAGGGGAAAGGGTGTGGCTGGGTGGTCGGGCTCTGGTACCGCCGAAGGCGGTGGTAATGGGTGGCGGTGGTAATGGGTGGCGGTGGGGTTGCTTCTAGCAAGGGGAGAGGGGTTTCCTTTTTTTAATTTTTTTTATAATGTTTTTATGTTTTTTAATTTTATTTTTTTTAATTTTGGACCATTCACGTGTTGACACGTGTCATGGTCACCTATTATAACAGGTCATTGACCCATCGTTGACCGGTTGGGACTATTGGAGACAAACTACCCCCATAGTTAGGATTATTAGATAATAAACCTTAATTGGGATTATTAATAGTTAATCGCCCATAGTTGGGATTATTAAAGTGTATTTTTTCTTTATTATATTTGTTTTTTTGGGGTTTTGGATTGGTTTATTCAAACCAAGTCTAGCATAAGGTCTCCAAATTTTTAGCATTCGACCCGTTTCATTGGAACTTGGACTAGTGATCAAACTTTGTATTAGGTCAAAATTAACGCGGTTGTTTTCTACTCAACTATGGAGTACAATATATTTAATTATCTAGAATAATAATGATAGGTAACATATAATACCTGCGTTTTCTATTAGTTGACACATTTTGACTTTAGCACTATTCACACACTCTTTTTTTACCATGTTTAGTGCTATATACATAATGAAAATATAGTCATATGTGATCTTGTTAGACTGGTCACAATATATATTTTCAAAATAGGAAAAATTAGAAATAATAATCCCAACTTTCATCAATTTTGCTACATTAATCCCAACTTTGGATTATTCTGGAATAATCCGAACTTTAGGGGTTCCTCTTTTTCTTCAATCCCAAAAACCGGTAACTGGTTGAATGGGTTAATTTTTTTTTTTTTTACTTTTTGAAGTGACACATGTCACTACTGAATGGCTAAAACAATTTCTAAAAAAAAAAAAAACTAACCAACCCCCAAAATCTCAGCCACCAGCCACCTCAAAAACCACAAACCAACCCCCAAAACCACCAATTTAACCCTAAACGGCGGCGCTAATTCCCTCCCCCTGCGCCGGTTTCCTCTTTCCCCTCCCCTTGCGCCGGTTTCCCCCTTCCCCCTCGCTGTTTCTCCTATTTCCCCCAATTTCCTCCACTCGAAATCGCCGCTTAAATCTAGTCTCCCACTCTCAAAAACCCCCCAAAAACTCCTCCCCACCGTCAAAAACCCTAGCCGCTTAGGGTTTCGGGGTGGTGAGAGGAACGATTGGGGGTTTTTGGCGGTGGGAGAGGTTTCGTTGGTGGATTTGGGGTTTCGGGGAGGTGGTTTCGAGTTTCGGGAAGGTGGTTTCGTGGGGAATGGGGGTTGTTTTGGGGAAGGAGGAAGACGGCGACGCGGTGGAGGTTGTTTCACGCAGCTGGTCGGCGACAAAGGGGTGGCAGGTTGGCCGTGAGGTGGTGGTTAGGATGGCTAGTGGGGGAAGGGGAGGCTGACTGGTGGTTGGTTAGTTTTGGGGTTTTTTTTTATATTTTTTGGACCAATCAGGGCTTGACACGTGTCAAGTGACCTGATATAATATTGACTTCTGTTGACCGGTTTGGGATTGAAGAAAAAAAATACTCCGTGTCCCCTAAAGTTCGGATTATTCCAAAATAATTCAAAGTTGGGATTATTGTAGCAAAATTGATGAAAGTTGGGATTATTTTTTCTAATTTTTCCATAATAAATCGAGTTAGTTAACTAATCTCAAATAACTCAACTTTAACAAATAATTCATAGGTGGAGCTAGCTTGTGTCATAGTAAGGCACGCACCCTACCACTAAATAAAGCTAAATGAATTAGTTAACATTCAGTTACTCCTTCTTTTCTTAAATAATTGATACGATTGACTTTTTTTATGATTGTTATACTAAGTTTGACCATTAATTTTTAATAACGTATGAAACACAAATATTATCATGAAATATATTGTTAAATAGCTACTTGATATAACAATGTGTTTTATGTACAGTTGGTCACACTATTTGACTGCTTGTAAAAAGGAGAGTATCTCCTACTCTCCTATAACACTGACAAAATAGCCCATACTTATTAAGTATTCCTTAGATAATAATGTAACCCCTACAATATTCACAAAGTAACCCCTTAAATTAGTAACTAACCCCTATAATTTTAACAGAGTAACCTAACTCTATAACACTAATCGGATTATCCCATACTAATTAGCTGACGGCTTGGACATAATGTGTGACTAGCCACATATATAAGTTAGTGTTAAGATAATATAAAATTTCATAGAAAGCTGGCCACATCTTATTTACAATTTTGGACCAACATATACGACATATATGTACCAAAATCTTCTTAGGAAACTGGTACCTACCCTGCATTATGATTTATGACAAAAGGAAATTAGGTTTGCTTATTTTCTTATGGCAATTATAAATCTTCATTATATTGAAATATATAAAAATAGAAATTTGAACTCCAATAAACAAAGAGAGGGATAGGTCCCTTGTACATGTAAGAAAAATAGAAGACCAAATAAGTTAAAAACATGTTAAAGATATAGATTTAGACACCAATTCACCATACTAGCAAGAATCAAGCAACCATGTGGTTCATAGATTTGATGGACATGGATGCAATATACTCTTTTGTTCGTTTTTGGGTCCAAGTAGCATTGTACTTTCCATTTTTGAATAATTAGCCGACAATAGGAGAGAAGCTATTGTCAGAAGATATTACTAAGATCAATTTTTTTTTGTCATCTCAGATTTGTATGATTGTTGTCAATTGTAGGGCTGAGCAAAACTACCGAAAATCCGTTCCGTTACCGTTTCGAAAATTAGGGTACCCGATCTGATAATCATAACAGTTCGGGTACCCATTCCGATAATTTGTTATCGGGTATGGTTTTTGGGTATTATTTTAAAATTAACGGTTACCCGTTCCGTTCTGATAAGCAATTATTTTGTTTTTTTTCTTACTTAAATCTATCTTTTCAATATTTAAACTCTTACATTACTTCATAATCACTATATAATATCAATAATTAGTAATGTTATTAATAATTTGGTCAAGATCATGTGGTATTGTTGTTAATTAGTGTTAAAAAATATCATAATAACTAATTTTTTAAGTTTAATTATCACTATTGGATACTTTATTGGGTACCCGATAACCGTTCCGAAAATCCGGGTACCCGAAGACCGGGTACTCGAACTTATCGGTTCGGGTTATGGATATCACTTTTAATGATATTGGTTATCGGGTTCCCGAACCGTTAGTACTAATGGTACGGGTACCCGTCCCATGCTCACCCCTAGTGAATTGTAACTTGTAAGATTAAGAACGACTTTTTATATAAAAAAATTAATACAAATATACAAAATACAAGTACACTAGTATGTATTTTCTTAATGAGCTTGCATTACTTTTTTTAGGCTCAAGGAAAGTTATAAACTTGTAAATTATGAGATTTTGTATGATTCCAAATGAGCTTTTTGAAGATTTTGCTAAGATTATTTTTTTGTGAGATTTGTATTATTGCTGTATTGGGAGATTAATTTTATATAAATATCTGAAAATATTGTTTTCATAACAGTCAATCGATCTGATTTGAATTGTAATTGTATGATCTATTTTTAAATAATTTTATAATTTTACAACTTTGATCTATTTGTACACTATTAATTTAAATGTCACTATAATCATATATATATTAATATAAATGTATATGAATTAGAGGTGATAATTAGGCAGGACGAGCCGGGTTCGAGCCGTGCCAAGGTCAAAAAATCAACCCACTTAACGGGCTGAAAATTATGTGCTCAAACCCGCACAAACTAGCCAAGCCATGTGGACTTTTCAAGCCGGACCAAAAAATAAACTTAAATTTCGCATTTCTATGCCTGCCAAAAAAAAATTTAAATCGGGCTGGTCAACGGGTTGGGCTTAAATTAATCCGGTCTAATATGAATGTAAAATTTCATATTTTTTTACCATGAAATTAATTAAAGGTAACTTAATATATTTAACAATAGGCAAATGCAAATCAAAATATAAGAGCGTGATCTCATTTTAATTTAATTGAACATTTGAAATAAGCAAATTACTCCCCAGTCCACATTGCTTTAATAAGTGAAATTGAATGTAGCCTTGATCTTATACATTGTCTTTAATTATTGTGACTGCTTTTTACAGAGTAACAGTGAACACAAATAATGGAGGTTAACACCATTATTCAAAAAAAAAAAAAAAAAAAAAAAAAAAAAAAAAACGGAGGTTAACAAAGAACCAAAAGCGACACCACGGAATTTGGTATACCAGACACAGAAAAAGATACAATAATGCCAACTGAGACATTGAAGAAATGCAACCCATTCTTAGCATTACATTTTAAGGATTTTCCAGGCAAAAATAACCACAAGAAAGCAAAAAAAACAATAAACACTAGTGTACCGATATACAAACTTCGCATAAAAGAGGTGATGAAGCTCAAACTTGCCTCTCCCAGCATCTCACTACACTAACTTGCTGTAAATATTCGTCGCTATTGGCAACAACCGTAAACCTGCAAACTTCCTAGTATGCACAGTTATGAAGAAACTCTCGAAAAAAAAGATTTAAGTTTCCAACAAAACACTTGACCTATTTACATTTACTGTCAGTGTTAATTAAATTATACTTGTGCAGAAAAACCAGTTTTTTTTTATACTTATAAACATTCGATCATGAGCTTCTGCCGAGTACCCTCCTTAGATCAGCTTTCTGGTCTGAAGATAGCCTCGATGGGAACTTAACATCGAACTTGATTCTTAAGTTTCCTCTCTTTTTAGGTTCCTTGGATATTGGCATTCCTTCACCTGTGATCACGACTTCATGGCCTGGTTTTACAATGTCTGAGACTTCAATTTCAAGATTTCTTCCGTCCAAGGTTGTAAGAGTCACTGTTTTACCAGTAAGAGCCTCCAGCAGAGACACTTTCAGGTTGACCAGAAGATCGTTTCCATCCCTCTTGAAAGTCTGGTGAGGTTTCTCGTCAATAACAAATATAAGATCACCAGCCAAGAGGCCAGGTTCTTGGTTGCCTTTCTCCGGGAAAGTGATTTTTGTGCCTTTCTTCCAACCAGGCCTAATATCAATTGCCAGTACCTCATCAACAGTCGTCGCCTTGCTGCAAAATGGATTATCAACGAGTCAGTTCATGCTTTATAAAGAGACAAATGGTCAATTTCAGATAGTTGATCTTGTCTACAAAACATCAGGACATGAAGCCCCAAGAAATGACATGCCGACTAACACTATTGCTGAAAGGATCGACACTATTGCAAATAATGCCAAACAATGAAAGACAGGTCTCACGAATACATGTTTGCAACTTGCAAATGTACAATCCTGAAAACAAATCATGATTCCTAGTGAATGCTAACAAAACAATCAGATCCATTATTCCATTTATGATTAGACAACAAGAGCGGAAGTCATTACAGCCTACTGTCAGACCACACACACAACTATACAAGAGAGAAAAACTAAGATTTCCTGGGCTAATGTCAGATTTTCGATTATCTTAAAACACATTTTTAGGTAAAACAAGGCTTATTTAACTGTGAAAATTTTAAGCTTGATCCTTAATCTTTACAGAATGGCCACAATCAACTGATTACAGCACACAGTAAAGATAAGTTGATGCAGGGGAATATAAAGTAACTAGAACACTAGTCCCTCAAATAAAATCCAAATTTGAAGCATAGGTAAGAAGATAAAGCTAAACGCTAACATGTTAGCTACTTGAAACAATTACAAGATTGAATGTTTATTCGCTCTCATCTAACCTCACTTTAATCAATCACATACCGATTGCAAACCCATCTTAATTTCTACTTTCATGATGAAATTAATCTAATCAGAAGAATAATGTCATACTACTTGCCACCATGTATAACTTTCGCAATCCAGACAGTTGACCTACCACAAGATTCTACTAGTAAGTAGTAACCCACTTTTGATCTACCAAGTACAGCAATTATCAATGACCAGTCAACAGGAATTTAACCATAAACGTGAGATCCACACTTGCTGGATAAAATAAGGTCACCAGGTAAAAAAAAAAGATAATTACAGTACATCAGTTTTTGATTCCTCTCACTTTGATTCTTGATTTTACTTTTAAAATTTAGGCTATTTTCCATATACAAATCTATGAAAATGACAAATGTGCCCTTGTGATTTTCTATATTTTCTCTTCCCATGCTGACAAATACTTTCGTGGTTTAAATTTCTTTATTAAAACTGACAATTAATCACCGAACAGTTAAATTATGTAATTTTAGAATTCCGAATGTTGAATTCGAGTAAAATTGTGATCCCTTTAGCAATTAATACAATTTGTACCAAAGGAGACCAAAATGATAAGTGGGGACTATAATAGACTTCCTTCATTACAGGGTCACCTATAAACTTAGGTGTTGTTTGGTTGATGTGGGAATTTAATTCCCATAGGAATTTATACTTCATGGGAAGTTAATTCCTTAATGAAATTCCTAGGAATTTCTTTAATGTGTTTGGTTAGCAATAAGGGAAATTAGAATTCCCATGAATTTTGGTTTACCTAGTGGGGCTAGGTAATTTATTTCTCATGTTTTGTGGGAAGTTGAAATTCCCATGAATTCTCACTTCCCCCATTTTTGTTTTCTTATGGCAACCAAACAAGGCCTTAGCATTAATAATACTTCCTCATACCCCAAAACATATTTTTTATTTTAAAATTTGAACTTAATTTACAATTTTATTCATACAATCTTTGTTTAACACTTTTCAACCATAGTAGTGACAACTTTTCTTAGCACAAATAATACTTCCATAAAAAAAATATATAAAGTCATACAGAATATATTTTACCATATTAAAAATATATACAGATTATATTTTACGAATTAAACATGGTACTCTCGTATAATAAGGATATTTACTTCACATGAATTTTTTTTTTAGTTTATTTAAAAACAGGGTAATAATACTCAAACATGTGATCGGAGCCAGTCCATTTCACATGGCCTCTTGTCCTAATACTGACTCAAATTAAATCGCCCACCAACTCGACCTATATTTTAAATTTTAAAAAACATTATAATTACAAATTTACAATTTTAACTTACACCAATCATTAATCAACAAACTAAACTAACCCTTTCTACCTAAAACCCTTATAAAATTATCTTCCATTATATTCCATTTTAAATTAATAATTCAATATCCAACCACCCATTATCAAAAAGGAATAATCATCCAAATTAAACCAAATCAAGTGTCAAATCTCGGTTATATCATTTTTCTTCCTTAATAACTCCACCAGAACTAGACAAATTAGTAAAAATTACCCCCATATAAGCAAAATTTTGATCTAATTTAGTGAAAAATTTCTTCTAACCATTTTTTTTCTTCACATTAACAATTTTCTTTAACACGAACGGCACTATCAATAAAACAACCAGAACAAAACCAAGAACCAAAAGGTCGAATCCTGACCACATTATTTTCATATCACGACACTAAAATTAAACTCAACACCAAACAATATAATCTCAAATACTGTATAATCTCAAATTTAAAAAAAAATAAAAAATCATCTGAATATAATAAAAGAAATAAAAACATACCCAGAAGAATCAGGAACAAGACGAGCAATCTTCATCTTCCTCTTAGAACCCTTATACAACTCCTCCAAACTACAAACCAACTTATTCTCAACGGGCTCCGCCTTCTTCGCCGCCGTAGCACTCCGACTATACTTCCGATTCACACTCTCATCATTTCCTTTTTTCAAAGGGGACCCACTTTTATCACTCCCAATATCATCAAAAAACCCATCAAATATATCATCATTAACAACCCTACCATTTCCATTACCATACTTTTGAAACGACCCACCCTTCCCACCACCGCCGGCGCCTCCGCAAGTGGCGGCGAAAGCGGCGGAAGGAGAAGAGACGTCGTATTTCAAACCATCTTCACCGTAAAGATCATAGATCTGACGCTTTTGAGCGTCGCTTAATACATCATAAGCTTCACAGATCTGCTTGAACTTGGCCTCCGCCAATCCCTTTGCGCCACTTGGGTGTTTGTCAGGGTGCCACCTCATCGCCAGTTTCTTATACGCTCTTCTTAACTCCTCTTCGTTTGCAGTTGATGATACTTTCAGTACTTCGTAGTAATCCGCCATTCCCATTTTTTTCTCTAAGCTTTTGATTTTATTTTAAATTTTGATTTTATTTTAAAGGCTAGTTTCTTTTTTTGGGATGAGAAGAAAATAAAGAGTGGAAAAGGGGAGGAGAGAGATTATATAAGAATGGGTGGAAGGAAAGTCGGAAGAGATGGGTTTAATTACGTGGATTTTTGCATTTTTAAAAATTAAAAATGAAGAGTGGGGTTTTCGAGGAAGACAGTGCGGTTATTTGGGGGAGTGTGAAGGGGGGTTGGAATTGGTTAGTTCAAGACACGTGGAGAGAATTGATTGGAGGTGATGTAAGAAGAAAGAACGTGAAGAGAAGTAATAATAAGGAGAGAGAAAGTAGAGAGAGAAAGTGAAGGAGTGTTGAAGGGATTGCGCGTATAATAACAGAATCTGGTATGGCGTCGCGGGGCGGCAAATATAATTACCTTTTTTTTTAATTTAATTTTTAATTTCAATTTTATGAGTAAGTGATTGGTTAAAACCGTTAATTGGAGTAGTGGAATACGGCGTTTTACTGTTGAGTCGGCTTAAAATTTGGCTACTTTTGTTGGTGTGAATTGAATCTTGTTTTACATTGTATTTCATTCCAATTTTGTTTCTCATTATTCTTTTCTAAACGGGTAGTAATAAGATTTCACATTTTGGTCATTTGTAGGAACTAGGAAAGTATTGGTGTCCACGGTTATACTTAATATCATATATCCTCCGTTTTATATTATTTGCAACTGTTTCATTGTTGCAAATAATATGAAACGAGATAATATTACAAATTTTTAGGAAACTGAGATAAAAATGTTGAATGATGTTACTATAATTTGAAAATTGTTACTCGTACTAAATATTTTCAATATTTGAAAAGAAAATATTGTGTTTACATATATTTCAAGATTCACTTAATTATTATACTTTTTTTTCAAAAAAAAAAATCACATAATTATAACAATATAATTATATCAAAATCTTGTGTTTATGTAGTAATCAAAATGGGGTATTACCTATATATGGCAAATATGAAGTTGGTTAAAATGTTTTGTACATAATTGTTCTATAGAGTTTTAGCTAATGAGATACTTCGTATTATGATAGTGAAATTTTATTATCCACATCTGCCATCTATCTACTACAGAGCATCTATCTACTTTATTATTTGGTACTACTGTACTTGTTGGAGTCTACTTCCACAATAGCAAAAAGTCTATTTATAAGACTATTCTATTTGTCTCTATTTTTTTGCCCCGTTATAAATAAATAGATTAATCAATAAGAGTAATATAGTCATATGAGATTTTGTTGGATTTGTCTCATAGTATATTTTATTAATATCAAATTTTAATAATTTCTACACATATACATTTTAAGGCGAGTCTTAATTCTTAAAGGCCAATGCAAAATCAAAAGGTAAAAAAATAGGAATAGGCGAACAGAGAGATTAAGGGTATGTTCACATTTACTGAACTGATTGGAGCTAAAATGAAATGAATTGAGCTGAAATGAATATTTTACGAGAGAGGAAAATTAGGAGCTGAACTGAGCTGATTGGAGCTGAATTGAACTGAACTGATTAGAGCTGAACTGAACTGAAATTAAGTAAATGTGAACAGACCCTAAGTTTTAGAGAATATAATAAAGTATAACCATTCATTTTTCATATGCTCACAAGGTACAAACGGGAAAAAAAAAAATACAAAATGGTAGCATGGTTTATACCATTCAAATGATCTTATTTGGTATGAATTTCATATTTGACTATACTTTAACCTTCTACACTAAACTAAACTATTAAATGAGATATTATTAGAGCCATATTAATATGTATTCTTTATTTTTAACTTAGTTTCAGTTCATTTTATCATAATCACCATTTGTATCATTATCATCATCATTGTTGCTGTTATTGTGATAATATGTTATAATTTTTTTATATCAGGCTATAAATTAAAGCATAAAAAGTTCTCTTTCCTCTCTAAACCTATGCTAGCTAGCCTCCATTGTAGAATTTTAGAAAGGGCTTCCATCGATTTTTACTGGTGGAAAGCTCCAATATTTGTGTTTTTGTCTATATTTTCTCTTTATTTTTTGGCTTATAATAACTCATCCTCTTATTAGAGATATTTTTTCCCTCTGCGAGTGAGAGATAGCTCAAGTGGTGATTAGAGCCTCCCTCTCAATTTTAGGGGATCATGTGATCGATTTACACAACCGCCCTTATGGCTTTCTAAACATGGCAGGGTTTTTCTTCTTTTCCATGAGAATCGTTTCTCCATTAAAAGACAAATAATTTCTTCTTTTTTGTGAGAGGCAGTGGCGGATCCAAATATTTAGGTATGGACATACGGAATTAGGCTTGTTAAAAATTTATAAAACACAAAATTTGTCATACTAGAAGTATGTACTGCGTAATTAATAATTAATTCCCCATTTTTATTCGTCATTGCATGTATTTTACCCTTAATTTATCTATAATTATTGAACAAAACAATTTTTTTTATTTTTTTTAAAGGGAATTGAACAAAACAAATAAACTAATTACTAGATTGATTTTACTATTTAAATAAATTGTTATATCAGTTTAGTTTAATTCAGCTAACAAGAACGAAGGTTAAAATTCTTAATACCTCCTCTGTTTCTTTTTATCACGCTAATTGCAATGCAGAATTTTAACAATCAATTACTTTAATTTTTCTCTGTTTTTTTAATTTACTTGTTTCTTTTATCACGTTTGCCAATGCAAAACTTTAACAATCAATGACGTTAATTCTCCATAAATAAAAATTCTAAAAGTTATATTTTATGATAGTACTTATTGAGACGAATTCAAAAAGATCCCACATAAATATGTCTTTCCTAACATATTATTCACAAAAGACGGCAAAGTAGAGGTGATGAATAATGTAAAAGTCAAAGCGGGTCGAGTAAAAAAGAATAGGGAAGTATATTATAATAGTAATTATTAAGACGAATTTAATAAGATCTCATATGAATATGTTTTTCATTACATATTATTCACAAAAAAACGGTTAAAGGAGTGGTGAATAGTGTAAAAGTCAAAGCTAGTGAAGGTAAAAAGAACGGAAGAAGCATGAAGTATGAAATAAGAAATAAGTAAACACATACTTCCTGCCTATTTAAATACCTGCTCCATTTCTCTATGCACGACGTTTTAGGAGAAATCAGATAATGTAATAAAATATGGAGGTAGTGGGGTAGGTGGAAGAATAAAAAATTATAAAAAGCAAAAGTATTGGAGAGAATTGGAGGAGAGATAATATGAAATTAATAAAATATGATTTAAGTTGGGTTCACTAGGTGAGAGAATTGAATATTATTAATATTGTTTGTGCCCTTTTTTTCTTTTTCTCTCTCCTATCTCTTCTGGGGTTTTAGTTTTCTTGGCCGTTTAGGCCGGAAATTGTAGACACCTAAAAATGTCTCCCCAAAACCAAACCCGATGATGAACAACCTTTCACCGCCACTATTGGTCGGGTTCAGTATTTAATCCCGAGAGTGCTTAAAAAATTGTATTTGATTAAATTCATATTTTTGAATGGTCCATGGACTAGTCTTGATGTTTGGTAAAAGCATAGTTTTAATTTCAGCCCAAATTTATTATTTAATTTTTAGCCCAAACCTTTTATTTATTTTAATTAATTATTTTCTTATTTTAGCCCAAATAATAATAAGTCAGAAAAGGCCCGAAATTATCAATCGGCACTTAAAATGCCGAATGAAATTAGGGTTAAAAATGTATTTAGACGGAAAAGCGGGCTGGGAATTCCCGCGCCACGGCAGGTACCCACCGTGTCACGGGAATCATTCCCGTCTGACGGTGGGATTTCCCGTGACACGGGAAATCTGCCGTGACACGGGAAATTCCTTGTCTTTTTCCGCGTAAACCCTTAACGCGTTTTCTTCCCCGTTTACTGAAAATTTCCCGCGTCACACTAAAAATGCACCGTGTCACGGGAATGTTTCCCGTCTGACGATGGGACTTCCCGTGTCACGGTACAGTTTGCCGTGTCGCGGGATACTTTTTTTAGGGTTTTTATCATTTTAGGGTTCCGTGTGCTCCCTCAGCACATTTTCTCTATAAATACCCCCTCATTTCTGATGTACGGGGCATAAATTAACTCTCTAGTTTATTTTTCTCTCTTCTATGCTTTAGCTTAAACACTAGTCTACCCTTCTTATTTCAAAATTCCTTCTTCAAGTGCTCAAAGGAGTCCATACTTTACTCGTGGTTCTGTCCTTAAGCCAAGGCGTGAAAGGTAGAACTGTTTGAGGGTTTGGCCCAAAATCAATTCTATTTCATTTAATTTTTGTTTTATTATTATTTCCTTGAAGTTACTAATTCATTTATTATTTTGTAGTTGCAAACAAACAGAATCAAAGTAAGAATTATGTTCCTTTTATTTCTATTATTTTTCTAACGATTTTATATTGTTGGAATTATTGTTGAATTGCTTCCAATATTAATGTTTATTCAATTATTATTTATTGATCACTATATTGCATGTTTAAAGGGAATATGTAAATGAAAATCATGCCTAATAAGATAATTTGGACAACCGGTTTAGGTTCCTTTTTAATCTTGTTAATTAATTCAAGTGATCACAAATATTTTAGAATTATGTGTTGCATTAATATTCAACCAATTTAGCTTAAAAATAGTTTGGAGCAAATTGAATTTTTGTTTGTATGCCTTTGAGATCGCAAGAATGTTTTTCACTATAAGAATCGAGTAGAAGCCAATACGGACGAATGTGACTCCATGACTCACTTCGTACCATCATCCCCGATCCTCCTTTCGTGGTTCCGAACCATATGGAGTTAGTAATCTCATGGATTATGAATGGGGTGTAACCTTCACGGGTCAATCGTTGTTGCCTTCGTTGTCCCTTTATCGTGGTTGCCTTTTATGATCCGTGAACGGTTTACAAGTTCCTTAAAAACTTGTTGGCGGCTCCCTACTTTATTTGTCCCTAATCGTATTATGTCAATTCCCACTTCCTATGAGTGCCAAGCATATTCACCACATGCTTTAACGTAGGCGCACTTCGAACGACGCCTACAATTTGGAGACTCC